ATATTGGAGCCTAAAAATAAAAGAAACCAAAGCTACTGCCATCGAGTTGATTCCAACTCATAGTGACCCCCACTGGGTTTCTGAGGCAGTATATCTTTATGGAAGTAGATTTTCCAGTCTTCTTTCCATGGAGTGGCTGGTTCATTTGAACCACCAACCTTCTGTTTGGCAGTCAGATGCATTAGGCCTTGTACAAATAATCGGATTGACAGTAGTAAGTTTGAGGAGTTGAGGGAATGAATGAGGAAGTGGAGTGGGAAAGAATATTGCTATTATCGCCCACCTTCTCCACACAATTCTGGCTCTTTCTATAAAGCCCTCACAGGCTCTAATAGGCCCCTCCCACTTTCCCTACACCCTGTTACTCAAAGCTCTACCTGTGTCTCTCTCCTTCCATTACCACCACCTTCATCAGTGCCTGCAGAGGCAGCAATACCAGGCCCACTCTTACCATTACTACAAGTAGCAGCTGCTGCCAGGTCTGATTTCTTTGTTCCTCTATTGTTGCAGCATCACTAAACCTAGACCCAGCAGGAAAAAAATACCTTCATATTCCCATCTCTCCAAATGTACAAGGGTTGATTAAGATGTACAATATATAACATCTCCTTTCTCCTTAAAAATAGTTTTGCATTTGTTCCACCTGACATCCCCTTTATTTTCCCAGTACTCTTGTCCCAAATAACCAAGGCCCTAACCGTTTGTTGGTCCTGACTCAGAGATTGCTGGAATGACAGGATCAGTATTGTTGCCCGCAGCCTTGTTCCACCATGCCCGTTCCAAGAACATATCCAGATCTTTTCCCCCTTGTCTTGAATGATCTCAGATTCTTAGTTGAAAACAATGTTTTCAGTACCTCTGATTTTTTATTTTGAGAAATTAGGAAATAGAAAAAGAAAAAAAAGATTTGATCATAATCCTACCATTTTGATTATCCAGTGCCACTCTGACAGAAAATATACCACAAATGGTATAAATGGTATACCACAAATGAACAAACGGGGATTTATTCTGTAAGAGTTTAGGAGGCTAGAAAAGTTCAAATGCCAGCGCTAGGGGCTTCAGCTCTGCCTCTTGATCCTGGCCCACTGGAGCCAGAGGCATCTCTTAGGCAGCTGCTGGCTGCTGAGGCTGACCAACCAAGGTCAACAAGTAAAATGGCACAATCCTAAGATTATCAAGCACCACAAAGGCCAGTACAGTAGTTCAAGTCCAGAAACAGTCCCAAGATCGGCAGGTCACAAACTGATGACTCAGCCAAATGCAAGATCCAGATGTGCCAAGAAGCTCAAGAGACCTTTCTCAAGGCTTTTTCTTATATACTAGATGCAGCCCACATCCCTAAGGCAGCTACTTCAGTTGCACACAGTAGATTCCACCATGGAGCTGATTACCAGTCTAATCACAGGGAATAACTACATCTACCTGTCCACTCAAACCCAGGCCCAGCCAAGTTGACACATAACTTCCTTAATTACCACACCTACCACCAGTTAACATCTCTTTATATTTTTATGTATTCGATTCTGTATCTGTACTCAGAGATAGATGTGATAAAGATTTATGGTGCGAGCCTGCATATGGGTTTCTATAATCCTGAATACCTTGACAGTATCACTGTATTTCAAGCAAATAATAAGCATGCTTTTTTTTTTTTTTTAATGCCAACTGTGCCCACCCTTCTTCAGGTAATTTTGTTAAGTGTGCTGTGCTCATTTTTCTTCACATGTTGCTAGAAAAGTTAGCATAGCACACTGGTACAAAAAAAAAAAAAAAACATACATGTATGCTAGGGAAAATAAAAGTGCCTCAGAGAACAAAGAGACAGGAAGTAGATTCCTGCTCATGGGACCTGATCACCTGTTACTTATGGGCAGGATCTCAGGGAGAGGACAGGGATATAGAGGTTTAAAGCTTCATGGGGCATGTAGGGACACTGAACCCCAGGCACCAGAGCCCCATCCTCCACTGGCCCTACAGCAGTGTTCTGGTTACCTAGTACTGCTCTGACAGGAACATACCACAAACGGAATGGCCTTATCAAACAGGAGTTAGGGCTGGGTGAAAACCCCTCCACTTTGGGGTCCAGCTCTGCCTCCTGTTCCTGGCCTACTGAACTAGAGGCATTTCTTCACTCAGACAGCTGCTGGCTGCTGAGGCTGAGAAGCCCCAAGGTTGACAAGTAAAAGGCACAATCCCAATGTTACCAAACCACACGACAGGCCATTAAGTCCATTGTAAGTCCCAAGGTTGGCAGAGCATAGCAGGCTGCTGAGCAACAACACAGCTACATGCAGGGTCCAAGCGTACCATAGGCGAGAGGCCATGCCCAAGGCTTCTCCTTATATATAGGAACCAGACCACATCCCAAAGGCAGCTACTCAGCTGCTTGTAGTAGAGCTCACCAAGGAGTTGATTGCCAGTCTCATCATGGGGAATAACTACCACCAGCTGGCCAGCCACTCAACCAGGCTCAGCCAAGTTGACACACAACATAACCACCACAAGCAGCAAAGATGCCCACACTGGCCTTATGGACTTGGACAGAGTAGCAGAAACAGTCACAATGAAGGCCTCACATAAACCCCCCAAATCCTGGGATAACTAAGTGGAGGAGTCTCCTAATAGTGAATGAGATTGTATTTTCCTCCACTGTAGTGGTGGTGGTTTTGAGTTGATTCTAATTAATTGTGACCCTATGTGTGCTGAGGAGAACTGCTCTACAGGGTTTTCAAGGTTGTGACCTTTTAGAAACAATGCCAAGGCTGTCCTCTGAGCTGCCTCTGCGTGGGTTTAAATTGCTAACCATTCTAGTAGTCCAGCACTTAATCTGCTGGGACTACCCAGGGATCCTTTCCACCTCCAAAGCATGAAGTAAAGATGCAGATTTAAGTTGCCACCTCTGAGAAAATCTTCCCTGACCTGAACACTTACACAGAAGACACAGCAGGTAAACACAATCTTTATTAGTAGTTAGGGGTTTGGACCAAGCCCCAGACAGAAGTTGATCTCTGGGAGCTGGGTGGAATCGCATGGGGAAGTGAAGGCCTCCTAACCTACTGCCTCGGCTCCCCCTCTGCTTCCCTCCTTGCCTTGCAGCATCTGCCTCAGGGGAGAAGAGAGCCTGCAGAGAACAAACCAAGTGAAGAGGAAAGGACCAGAAGCATTCACAAGAAGGCTGACCCCAGTCCAGTTCTCTTGCTCTAATTACTCCTCCCAAGAGAAGAAGCATCTTAGAGCAGTAGCCCCACTCTCTGGCCTTGGAATCTATTTTGTCACACACTGTTAACTGCAAAGAGGGTTGGAATGAAGACAACCCAAGGCTGAGGGCTCAAGTGAGTAGCCAACACTCTCCCAGGCCTTGTCTTTTTTTTTTTTTTCCAAGAACACTCAGTGGTCTTTCAGCCAGGGCAGCGAGTAGTTGGGAACATAGTTATCCCTCTCAAGGGAGGCAATTTGCTTTTTTAAAAAGTGCTGCCTGCTTAATCTTTGCAGCTGCTCAATTCTTCTCACCTGGGACTAATGAGGTGGGGTGCTTAGTCATTGTAGTCCTTTCATGAAAGTCTTTTTGATAACTGCCTCCAGAACTGCAAAAATGGATCTGGATGTTAATTCAATTGTGTTTACCCCAAGGTCACACTGCATCCAAGGCAAGGAAATCATCCCTGATGTATTTTGTATCTCACAGGAGGCTATCTCCTGTCCTCTAACCAATCTCACCAAACAGTATTATGATGATGTGTGCGGGGTTTTCAAGGCTGCAGCAAAATCAAGCACCAGGCCTGACTGGCAAGATGCCTCTGGGCTGATTCAAAGTGCCAAACTTTTGGCTGGTAGTCAGGTGCTAAACTGTTTGCACCACTCACCCAAACCCACTGCCATCAAGTTTATCCCAAGTCATAGTGACCCTTTAGGGCAGAGTAGAACTGCCCCATAGGGGTTCCAAGGCTGTTAAGTCTTTATGGAAATAGATTGCCTCACCTGCCTCCTGTGGAGTGGCTAGTGGGTTCGAACCACCAACCTTTTGGTTAGTAGCCAAAGGTCTTAATAATTGCACCACTCAGAGACGCCAAACACCACACAATTAACAATTATTTAATGAATAAAGGGAAATAATTTAACACAACTCTCCAACTCTGCCAAGTTAATCTGTTATCTTAACTGAGAAATTAAATTTTAACAAAATCAGTTGGCTCAACGTTTCCCACTCAATGTGGGCCAAAACATCTTTGGCCCTTTTCCTGTCACTCTTCTTGGCTCCAGTCAGTTGGGGGGTCTCACTTAGCTGTGTGTTGCTCAGAGTTCAGGTGCTATTTCTTTAGAGTCTTGGGAAGTTGCCTAATGGAACAGGTGTACCTTCTTCAACAACAATTAAGTTCCCTGGAGTTCTGAAGACACGAAAACAGGATCTCACCTGTAAAATTTAAGAAACAAGAAACATGAGCATTTCAGCAGTTTATAAGGCAACAGTAGCATTTTCAAGAAAAAGCAATGTTCCTAACATACAATATAGCTTATTAACTCTAAAAACAAATGGCTGCTCTTAGATAAAGACATGGCATTTTCAGAAAAATGAGGTTAAGAACAAAAAGGAGTTTTTTTTTTTTTTTTTTTTTAAAGGACTCATGACTTCACCTTCTCCAGGGTGTTAACCAATTGTGATCAGGCTTCCAAAATCCAACACCTGGAAACTTAAGTGCGATTAGAAGAAATCCCTTAAAAAGTGATATTCCAAAGTCCTATATTAAAATAAATTAATAATATAAAATGTGTGCATTTGTGTATGTACCAAAAATGATAAAAAGTGGCTAATTTAGGTAATATGATAATGATTATTTAATTTCCTATGTGATAATTTTGGTCATCAAATTTTCTATTACTTTGTTTTTCTCTAATCAGAAAGGAGCCTCAGGAAATTGATTTCTCTCTGGAGTGTGTTTCCATTCTTACTTACCTTTCTGAAATCAGTGAGGATCTTGTCCTGGGTCAAGGTCTCCACTCTCACCTGGCACATGGACTTTCTTGCCTTCATAGCAGGTTGGGCCGCCACTTGGAGCACACTGC